CCTGCCCTCATGCCCTTTACCCCCCACCCCGCCCCGTGCCCCTCCTCACTTGTTCTCTAGCACGATGTCCGGCCGCCACACCATGGTGGACGGCACCCTCAGCACCCACAGGCCTGCGTAGTCCTGTGGGTCCCAGCGAAGGCGATAGTCACACCACTGCTGCAGGGAGAGGGCGGTTGCCAGGCCCCTGCTCTCCGTGTGCCACACCCTCAGGAACAGGAGCCCAGCCCAGGGGGCCCAGAAGAGGCAAGGGGGGGACACTATGGGACAACAGGCAGCTCTGAGGGCCTTGGGGCCCCGTGGTAGGGAGCCCTGATAAAGGGAAAGGGGGACAGGGTGATCTCTTACCATCTCTATCCAAACATTGGTGGTGAGGGCCTCCTCTCGCTCATTCTGGGGGTACAGGCCAACGTATCAGCCCCCATCACTTGCCCTCCCCAGACTTTAGTCTCCAAGTCCATTGTTGAGTCCCACAGGACCCCAGCCTCTCTGGCAGCCTCCATGGGAGAGTTCTGGCCTCTCCCCCGTGGGGCCCTCCCCACTCCTGAGCCAACCCCTTCCTCTCCCCAGCAGGTTCTGGACCCGGTGCCCCGGCCCCTCTTCCCCAGCAGCCTACAGGCTGCAGCTCACCAGGGAGATGAGGTTGGTGAGGGTGAGCTTCAGGCTGACGTTGACCACGTCTGTGTCCCGCTCGGCAGGCCGCAGGTGGGGGTCGTAGCTGCGCATCAGGTCGGCCAGCAGACGCTCCTCCTGGTTCCGGCCCTGGGCTCCTGCAAAGACAGCGGTGAGCCTGGGCGCAGGGACTTGGGGGCAGAAAAGGGGAGGCCAGGGGAGCATGTGACATGGAAAGGCCGGGAGCCGGGGTGCGAGGTAGGCTCCAATAGCCCTCCATCCCTCCATCTCCTGAGGCCTTGCACCCCTGGCCGGCCTTCCCCAGGGCCCCAAGCCCCTGTGTCCGCACCCAGGCAGAGAGCCAGCAGTGGCAGGAGGAACAGCTTCCCCTGGCCCCCATGCATGGTGTCACAGCTCTCCACGGTGATGGGTGGGACGGCAGCTCCCCAGGTCTGAGGACTAGAGATGTAGACTCTGGGTCTCGTGTAACAGCCCACACTCCCACCCCAGCCAGCCCTGCCAGGCCGCCCGGCCCCACCAGCTGTCTGACCACAGCACTGTCAGCTGTTCTCTGATGGACAGAATGCCAGGCTCAGGTTACCTGGGCTGGGAGGGGCAGAGGGGCCCCGTCTACCCCAAAGGAGGTGGTCTAGCCTCCATCCCCGCTCAGATTAGTTGTCCCAGATTCAGGGTCCAACTGGGGAGCTGAAGATGCAGCCAGGCCTCGTGGGGTGTGGGAGAGAAGGCAGAGTGTGTGGGGAGGCTTCCTCCTCCTGCTCCCTCCAGCACATCAGGATTTGGGGAGATGTGAAGGCTTTTGGTTAGGTATGTTCTGTTCCTGAGTTTCTCTATAGCATGGCTGAGGACCCCAAACCTCTCCCATCAGCCTGACATCTTAATGGGTCACTCCACTGGGCTAAGACACTGGAAGGCAAAATGCCTACAAGAAAGATGCATGATATCCCCCAGGCTTTGGCATCTTAACACAAATTAGGGTGTTAGGTCAGGGTCCGCCCATTCTCAGAGGCATGAGTCCCAGCCTAGTAAGCTTTGTGGGAAGGAGGGCTGAGAAAGATCTGAAACTTGGGGCTCTTGTGAGTAGTACAGCTCCTGGGTAGGGGCGCCCCTGTGGGGCCTCAGTATTTATTAAATCATCCATAGACTTAGTGTCCCTAGCCTATGGCAGGCACAGCTCTAACCTGGGAGGACCCAGGACGCACCTGAGTGCTCGCAGAACTCAGTTCATGGGACAGATGGACAAGATCGAAGTCATGGCCCCCTGAGAGTCAGATGAGGGAACCTGGAAGGGCCAGAGAACAAGCTCCATCCACTGTATGGTTTGTGGTCAAGGGAAGGGTCGGGCTAAGGCTGATCTGGGAGCCGACGGCTATGACCAGGCTCAGGCCACCTGTCTTCTGACCATCTATTCCAAGCAGACAGGTCTGCATGCCTCCGTTCATGGGCAAGACAGAAAATGCAGGTTCCCAGAAAGCCACCCACCCTTCAGCATCCTGGGGACAGGGTGGCAGATGCCTGTGAGGTGTGGAGGAAGCACCGGTTGAGAACACGTCCCCCACCCCAGAAATGAATGACATCTGTGGCATTTCAATGTGCGTCAGGAAACCGGAAGTCAGCTGACACGCCCTGTCCTTGGAGATCCAAATGAGAGGTTGGCCCGTACCCCAGCAGTTTCAGTTGGGTGTGGCAATTGGGGGTTGTCTTTTCTGGAAGGCTCACAGCCGCGGAGCCAGGCCTGGCACAGGGAGGATTCGCCGGCTGCCGGGGGAAGTGTAAAACCCGCGGCCAACACCACCACCGTGTGGCAGAGAGAGGCAACGACAGCGGCCCAGGGCTCCAATCCAGGCCCCCTTCTCTCTGTGCACCAGACAGGGACCCTCTGGGAGTTGGTGGAGGGAGTTGGTGGCCCAATCCAGGGAAGGCTGGACTTCCCGCTCATCTGACAGATGTAAGTCCAAGCCAGTTTTCCTATTCATAGGGGAAAATGTGTACCTTGAATTTGTGGATGACTTACATTGGAAAGAAGTAAGTAGGGTAGTTTTAGGCTATTCCTCATTTCAGTGGAAAGACTAAACACATCACCTCCTGTATAGATGAGCTCTTGGGGCCACGGACTCCCTCCGAGCTGTGGAGCCCTTAGGCTGGGACCTCAGGAGGTGAGTGATTGGGCCTTCGGGGCCTGCTCCAGCCCTCTCAGTCACTACACCAGGCTCGGGTGTAGGAGACCCTCACGAGAGACCCTGGGCTCCCAATCTCTGCGACCGAGACCCTCAAATGGGGAACGAGATAAATAACCACGTCTTAATTTGCAGGACATGTGTCAGTATGTCACACAGACTAGCAACTTTGATTTTCACAACACCCCGTGAGCGGGACTTATTTTACACACGTTTTGCAAATGAGAAAACTGAAGCTGAGAGCTGAGGAATGGCTTGTCTAAGGTCACACTGCTCCAAACTACTCAAAACTTTCTCTTAAAGCAACAAACGTTTATTGTCTCCCACAGTTTCTGGGGGCCAGGAATCCAGGAGCATTTCAGCTGGGTGGTTCTGGTGCAGGGGCTGTGATCTCATCTGAAGGTCCCACTGGGGCTGGAGCATTCACTTCCAAGTTCACTCCCCTGGCTGTTGGCAGGGGGCCTCAGTTGCTTGCCTTGTGGGCCTCTCCATAGGGTGTCCCTCATGCCTCCTGGCTTCCCCAAGTGAGGGTGAGAGTGAAGGGGTGAGAGCAAGAGCAGGGTGGGGGGAAGAGGGGCACTGCAATGTCCTCTACAACCTAACTTGGAAGTGACATACCCTCACTCCTGCCTCATCCTGCTGGTGACACAGACCAGTCCTGGTATGGTGTGGAGGATACTACACGAGGGAATGCGTACAGGAGGTGGGATTACTGGGGCCATCCTGGAGGTGGGGGTACCTCACAGAACCTCATCTCCAAGCTCCTCCAGCCTCAGGCTTTAGCCCTTAAGATAAAATTGGTGGGAGCTCCCTTTGGGGTAGAGTGGCTAGATTTAACAAATACATATATAAAATGCCCAGTTAAATTTGGATTTAAGATAAATATGAATAGTTTTTTAGTGTAAATAGGTCCCAAATCTTTCCTGGAAATCCTACTTTGGAGAAGAGAAATAGGTGACAGGGAGGAGACACTCCTGGGGGAGGGCTGAGTTCTGGGGCTCTGGGTGGCCCATGTGAGCTCAGGGTGATGGGCTGACCTCTGGCCTCTGTAGCTGCTGGGCCCAACCCTCCCACCTCAGTCCTCAGCTTTCCACAGGGACCCAGGCAGAGTGGCCAAAGCAGAAAGGACCGGGGTGGATATTCTGCAACCTAGGTGCCCCCACCCCTGCCCCAAACCTCCTTCCCTGAAGGGTCTGAAGAGGGAGGTTCCAGGTGGTGCCTCAGGAGCCCAAGGCTGAGGGTTGACAGGAAGTGAGGGCATGGAAGCCCACCTGCTCTACTCCCACCTCGGGGGGGGAGGCAAGAAGAGGCCTCTGTCGTTCTCACAGAGGGGTCCCAAAAGGCCAGCATGAGTGGCATTCTCCTGGCCCTTGAGCCAGGTCCGTCTCCCCCCGAAATTGCCCTGCCCCACCCACCAGCTGGTGTCCACTCAGACCTTTTGGGTGGCTCTTGTCTTTATTTACTGAAGAGGGGGCTTCTTTCCTTGGTCTCAGGAGGCCCAGCTCATCTCCATCCCAGCCATGCAGGACCAACTGGGCTCAAGTCAGGGCCAGGAGTTGCCTCCCCAGGAAGAGGTTATCCTTCCTCAGGCATCCCTGTCCACACAGCTACCTGCCACCCCCCGAAGGCCTATCCCTTTCAGGCCAAAAGCCCCACTGAAACTGCCCTGGGAGCTGGGCCAGGCTGGGCAGGGCAGGCCCAGTCTAGATGAAGCGCTTATCCTGCTCCAGGTAGGAGAAGGGGTCCCCAGGAAAAGGCTGGGATGGGGGCTGGTTGTAGGCGCCCTGCAGGAAGATCCAAGCCGTGCCCACCACCATGACAGGCGTCACCACAAACAGGCAGAGCCGGTCCACTGTGCGGGCCACCCGGTTCCAGCAGTCCTTCTCCTGGGGACAGGGTAGGGGGCAGAGACAGTGGCTGAAGAGGGCCCTCCTACCACAGACCCATGCCCTAAGCTGGGGCCCAGTAACAGGCGTGGCCTTGGTGTGTCTGTGGGGGCTGCCTTGAGCTTACAGCAGATGGGACATGCTGCATGGACCCCGCAAGGGTCCAGGCCCTACTCCAGCCACAGGCAGGGCTGATCACTCTGTCTGTCCAGGAGACCAAGAGTGGGGCCACAGCCTGAGTCCTGGCTGCTCAGTGCTGCCACTGGCCTGTGTGAGCTGGAAGAAGGCACCCTCTCCTCAAGAGAAATGTTAGAAAGCTGTGTTACATTGAACAGCCACGGAAGGCTGCCTGTTAAGGGTCTGGCTGTGTCTGCAGTATCAGGCTTGAAGCTGAGAATGACTGGCAGCTGGGAGAAAGAAGGGACCCAAAGGGATGCCCAGAATGTGAAGCCATGTGTGTCCCTGGCCCTGTGTGCTGCTATGGGGTTCTAGGCAGGGGCCCCGTCCCTGGGGGGCCTGCATTCTGCACCCACTGTCAACTTCTTCACCTAAGTTGGTGTGTGTGTCTCTGAGGGGAACTGTGTCCCCCTAGGTAGGACACACTTGCTCAGTGTACCACTTGAACCCCTGCACATGGCAACCCTGTGGCACTCACCTCATTGTAGTTGTTCTGGTCCCTCATGTGGTTGACGATGAAATTGGCCCCGTCCACAGCGGGCTTCAGCTCACTGAAGAGCTCCTGCTGGGTCTGCTCAGAGCCTGCCGGGGGCCGGCCTGCGGGTACAGGCCAGAGGTGGGCATGAGGCCTGCCCCCACCCCACCTCCCAGGCCTGCCCAACCCCAAGCCACCAGGCACCCACGCGCTGTGGTGAGGCGCCGGGCCAGCCCGTGCCGCTCTGACTGCTTCTCGAACATGAGGTCACTGCGGGACTTGAGCGAGAAGTACTCCTCGGCCTTGGAGATGTAGCCCAGGGAGCTGCTCCTCCGGACCAGGGCCCCGGGGCTGGGACCGTCCTCCTCAGGGAGGGACATGTGGAGGAGCCTGGGCAGGGTCTCTAGGAAAAGCTGTGGCAGGTCGGGGGGACACAGGAAGGCCATTTAACCAACGTGAGTTACCTTCACGCATCCAAACGTCTCTGACTCCCCTTTCAGGCTGCCATAAAGCGCCAGATGGAATTTTACAGATGCCTTCAACCGTGTAAACACCACTCAGATAAGCCATCAAGCATTATCCCCAGAAGGTTCCCTCCTGCCTCCCCACATCAATTCCCTCTCGCCCCCAGAGGCAACCACCAGCCTGACTTCTAGCACTAACGCCTGCCCTTGAACTTCACACAGAGGAAACTGCTCGGCCTGTGCTCCCTGCCTGCTGCTTTCATGTAACGTTACACCTGGGAGGGCGGCCCACGTGCGGGAGCGCGGGCGGGCGGGCCTAGCAGCGGCTGCTGCCCT